AGTTAAGTCTCAAGTCTAAACCCAATCAGTCAGAACCCAATGCAAACCTAATGCCGAAACCAATCCAAAGTTAAGTCTCAAGTCTAAACCCAATCAGTCAGAACCCAATCCAAACCTAATGCCGAAACCAATCCAAACTCTCGAAACAAAAACTAAGTTGGTGGAGAAACACGTTTCCTGAATCCTCTGATCTGGTTGACCTCCACCTGGGCGGCTAAAATCTAAACCAGATTTAGTCTTCAGATGGATGTAAAACTGATTTGTTTGCAGTTTTTACCAGATGGGTCTCAAGTTTTTATTCCATTCAAAAGCCTAAAAACAATTCTAAAATCCCAAAACATGAGTAGCAGGAGTGTTCTGACCTACGTATGGCAAGGGCCTGTAAAATATTCATAGGATGACGGTAAGCCTGTGCATGGCTTGGTCATGGTCGATACAGAAGCAGCTGATTCTGAGGCCGTCTGGACTGATTATTCATTTGGATTATGAACTTAAACAGAGACACATTTTAGGTTCTAATTTGTTTGCAACTGTCACGTTTCTCCATTAATCACAAGCACAACGAGAATCAGGTGTTTGTTCTAATATGTTGAAGAAAACCTCAACAACTTTCATGGGACGAGCTTGTTCGTCTTATAAACGTCTTCATTCACCCACTTGGAGTTTATTCAGAAATACAGGAAGAAATCTGAACCAAACACAGCAAACTGAAAACAATAACAATAATAATTCAGGAAGAAAATCAGCAAATTGTCACATTTAAGAAGCTGAAACCTAGAAAATGACTCAAGCAATTCGATTTTTGTAGCTCTTGTCTATAATAAAGCACACTTTAGAAGCTCTGGAGGTGTTCGTGAACCGTCCAGATAAATGAACGCACACCAGGAACACAGAAGTACGCCAGATTTTTTAATATTGCTTCAAAGAGAAGTCATAGTGAAAACACCAGCATTAGCACTTCAAAGGATGTCAGTTCTTCATGTCGGACCCACAGCCGGACTTCCACTTGGACTTTATTACCACAGAAACAGGAAAAGGTTTAACATGTAAACACAACTTTCATCCCATCGTGTCACATTTAAGTGCAAAGCAGAGAAATCTTTGGGAAGGAAACAGCATCTTCGGTTAGAGGCACAAAATTTCTTCAATTCGCAGCAGAGATCCAAAAGTAAACCTCCGAAACTCGCTTCACCTGGACGCTTTAACCATCACAGATATAATTGTCGTTCATTCACTTATTTCATTTAATCTGAATAAACAAACAACAACAACAAAAAGACCGGAAAAAATATCTGAATATATTTTTTCCATAGACATTGAAAATGACTTAAAAATGGGTTTTATTTTTGGATGTTTGCCGTTTATTCACCTGCAGAGAAACTAAAACAGGATCAGACACTTTAACTGTTCAGTAATAATCATAAAACAGTCATTTCCTTTTTAAAAAAAACTAAATTCTTACTTTTTTTCTTCTCTTTTTAGTTCCAACACTGAAATAAGTGAATGAACAGACAAATCATGCAGATTTTCTGTATTTGTTTTGTCTAAATTCAGAGTTCCTGCGTGAAATCTGATGCTTTTAAAGCTGAAAAACGAGTCGAGGTTTACTTCTGGCCTTCATCCTCCTCCTCCTCCTCACTGGCCCTGGCCCGGCAGCGCCCCCAGCAGGCCGTTGGCGGTGGTGAAGAGGTTGATGGGCGACGAGCCGTCAGTGATGAGAGTCGACTTCAGACCGAGAGCCTGAAGCATCTTCAGCTGCACGACGGACATCAAAACAAAGAGAGAATAAAGTTCTGCACCAATTCAAGGAGGCGTTTTATGTTGTACTGCATTATGTGTATTTTAAGTAACTTTTTATTTACTATTATTATCACTTCACGAATTACTTACTTAAAAATGTGTTTACGACGTGTTTGACTACTGAACATACAAGTTAAAATTATAGCCTATATTCATTAGCGTCTAATCTGATATATTTTCAGTTATTGGCTTTATAAAATTCTAGAAAACAGTGAAAAGGATCCATCACAGTTTGACAAAAGGCCCAAAGACTCTCCTATAAACATGAATATTTGACATTTTGACTGAATCTCTGAGTTTCTGACAGTCTGAAGACGATCATTTAGACTTGTTCCGAACTCTGATGGATATTTTTCACTGTTTTCTGGCAATTTATAGATCAAATAAACTTCTCAAGACTCAGAAATGAATGGTGCATTTCCCAACCTTCTAATTAAACGGTAAAACCCAAACACCCTGTGGGTATAAACAGTCATGTTTGAACCTGATAAGTTAATTTCTAATGTTATTTCTCTTTGGTTCAACAAATGTTCTTCATAAATACCAGTAAGTTGACGTATTTAACAGAAATAGTGGAATTTGAATATAGTGTTGTTATAACTAACTGTGTTTTCTTTTTGTAAATAATAATAATAATTTTCAATAATAGCAGTAATGTAGCGTCTGTAGTAAACATTCAGAGCATTTTAACTTAATATTGGGACCAGTTTGCTTGAACTTCACTTTCTAACCTCAGATCTCTATTAAAATGTAACAGACTTTGGTTTAAATGGAGGCGTTAGTGTTGTGACGTGAGTGACGACGTGGTGTCGGTACAGCACCTGCAGCTCTGGTCCGGCTCTGGCGATCTCCTTCAGGGTGTCGCTGCCCAAACTCTCCATCAGCTGGCTGAAGCGTTGACTCTCGATCTGAGCCAGACGTTCCTGCTTCTCCACCTCCAGTCGGTCTATCTCCTTCTTGTAGTTCAGCTCCTGCTCACGAGCCTTCATCAGCCGCTGAAGCTCCGCCTCCTACAGACGCACACAGGCTTGGATTAAAACTACGACAGCTTCAGTTCTGTGGCTGCAGCTTATTTTCTCCTCTGTGACAGTAAACTGAACATGTTTGGATAAAACGAGACATTTGAGGAAACACTGAAGCACACCTTCATCATTTTCAGACCAAACAGCTGATTGGTCCATCGAGAAAATAACCCACCATGAATATAATCTTTACTTAAAGTCACTTTACATTCGACTAAACTAAACCTACAAACAGTTACAGACACGAAACCCTCCGTTCTTTGTTTTTTTCTAATGATAGAAGATTTTTTTTGCTAACCCAGAGGAAAAGTCATCTTGGATTCTGTAATAAAAACCTGTTGACTAGGTTAGAGTTGGACAGACTGTGCTGCTCTGTTCTCACTTCCTTTAGCACTCAGGCAGCAATTTAAAAAAGTCCTTCAGGACAAAACATCAATAACGCCAAAAATGTTATGTATTATGATTATTTCTCAGTTTCAGTTGCGTATTTCTTTTGCTCTCCGTGAGTTCTGATCATAATTACCAAACACTCATTGATATTTAGGATTTTAACCCTTTAAATGCCGGTTTGTTTACATGACGCCATGGTTGTTGTTTTTTTATTCCATATAATATAATGAATAGAAGATTCTTCTTTTGATGATCACAGTCTGTCGCTGATTAACTTCAGTGATTAAATGCATCATTTCTTATTTACACAGTCAGGTTTTTAATAAAAACTCACACCTGAGAGGACAAAAGAAGCCAAAAAGCCATAAAAATATTAGAAACTATCATTATTTTTTCACTTCCACTGAGTAAGAGCATCAGTCCTGATCATAACTGCCAAATACATGAGAGTTTACTGATTGTATGAGTATTTGCCGACACAAACTCTCCTCTCTGGTTAATGCCAGCTACAGCTTTTTGGATGCTTCACCATATTGGAGAGTTTTTAGGCTTTTCAGGAGTTTTTATTAACTGAGGTTTAAAATAACATTTAAATCTCTTTTTCATGTGAAGCTTGCTGTTGGCCGTCTACTTTAGTGAGCTCGTGTTAACGTACCGCCTCGATCCTCTGAGCTTCGGCCTTCAGTTTGGCCTCGTTGACGGCCGCCTCACCCTGAATTCGAGCCGCTTCGGCCCGAGACTGAGCCTCGGCCTTCGCAGCTCCGGTACTTTCCACAGCAGCACTGAAACACAGACGCTCGGCTGGTTAGTTTTTTACAGAAAACAAGTGACCTCATTAATCGTTGCAGCATTCAGAAGTCGTGCATAAACAGACGCTTTAAAACACATTGTGAGCACTTATTAACGCGTTTATAAATGTTAAAACTCCTTATGACGCATCCAGACTGTTACATGTCTGCACGAAAACATCTTCAGCATTTTTAAATCCATTTACAAACTGTTTAAACGTTCCTGAGCTCTGCGTCTATCAAAGAAGAAATATTCACTGACTGAGTGATTCTAACAGGTTCGGGTCACGTAATCTGATTATTGTTGATCATCTGAAACCCAAAACTGCCAAAATCACCATTTTTTAAATCAGAAAACAGAAATAATAATCTGATTTTCAACTCTTTGCTGGTCCTTGAATGCATCACGTGTGGCGTACAGGAACATCTGGACATTTATATTTAAATCTAAGCTTAAATTTGTGATTTTTGTGTTCATAACAATCTCTCTGTAAAAACATTTTAAATTCTGAGCTCCTCTGTGAACAGTGACTGGCTCAGCTGTGACCAACAGTCTGGTGACAAACATGTGGTTTCCAGTTGAACTTCAGGCGGTGTTTCCACAGAGCAGAGAGGAGAGTGAAGGAAGTTATGAATGTAAGTAGTTAAATATCTATTGTACAACAAGCCTCCATTTTTGTCAGTGCTGGTAACACCTGTGGGGAAAAAATGAGCCCACAGTGAGAAAAAATGTGACTGGAGCCCCCAAAAAACAAAAACCTATCGTCATCATCAACAGCAGGAGAAATCTTTACAGCTTTAGTTTGCTGAACGAGCAGTAAATTTATCGAGACAACAAGCGACTCCTCCTTCACTGATCTCCTTCCAGCTGCAGTGTTTACTGTCCTGTCTGAGAGGTGGGACTGGTGCCTCCCCAGTTCACCCAGTGCTGTGGCTTCACCTGAGGGCCTCCAGCTCCAGCAGCTCCTTCCTGGCCCTCTCGGCCTCGGCCTGGTCGGTGATCCTCTGCCTCTCCAGCTTCCCCCGAGCCTCCTGCTCCAGACGCTCGGCTTCATGTCTGCAGCCAAACAAAACCTCGTCAACATCATCATGTTTCTTTGTGGGTAAAAAAAGATTGTTTGCTGCTTTCTAAACTATAAAAATCTCAGCATCTAAAACTGGTATGAGCTGGTTGGAGTACAACAACCGGTAGTATCTTTTCTTGTGTATATAAACAGCTTCCCAAAGATTTTAGCTCGTCTGAGGCAGTAATCTGGAAACTAAATCCTTTCTGCGTTCATCACCGTTTACATAAACACAGTGAATAAACAAGACTGAAGATGTAATTTACCTTTTTTCTTTTTCTTTTTTAACTCAGACTAGACATATCGGAGCAAAGGGAGAATTAATGTAAAACACCAACAAAAATCTGCTCAAAGAGGCAAAACTGGCTTCTGATGCCAAAGTTGTCGTTACTTTTTCCACAGATAAAAATCACATCTGTTGATATCTTGTTGAAAATGTTGATTATCTGGTAAACAAATGGCACCAGAGTCTAACACAGATATTAACATCCAGCTGTTTGTGCTCAGACGTCAGCTAGTGTCTGAGAATGTGAAAGGCCGACGTCGTACCGAGCGGCGGCCTCCTGGGAGTTGGTTGTGATCTCGATGGCCAGCTGGACGCTCTTCTGCAGAGCGTCTCGAGTCCTCTGGTCGACCGGCTCCACCGACTGGATGTCCACGCTGCTGATCACCAGGTTGTTCTGGTTGAAGTGAAGACTCGAACGCACCACCAGCTTCTCGTCGAAGCCGAACACCGCGGAGCAGATGATCCGGTTGGAGTTCTGAGAACAAGAAAGATCAGATGAGATTTAAACTGATTTAACGTTAATAAGCTGAAAAACGTGTCCTTCATACTGTATTGAAGGACAGATTCTGCTTATTGCGTCACAGTTTATGTTGTGTAGTTGTAGTTCTGTGGTTGCCAAATCTACCTGCTCAAGGGCAACAGCTAGCTACATGCTAACTCTACGTACGAGGTGCTAGTAATAAATAAAAATAAATAAAGCTTGTCCCTACAAAAATACTAAATATTCATATAATTTTTGTTATTTTCTTAGTTGTCAAATTGCGAAACAAGTTTTGGATTCTCACACTTAAATAAACACAATAAGCTGTGATGTCAGTGTTTAAAATGACTGTGAGGTGTTCAGGGAACATCAGTAATGTCTTACATTTACCGCTGCATGTGAGGCATTCAGGAACATTTAGCATGTGGTGATGCATGCGAGGCTTCTCTGTGTTTCCACAGAGCATGACGTGAAGCCGAGACGTCCCTGAACGCAACACTGAATATTAATAATCTTGAGACACAAACCTTGTGGAAATCGTCGAACTGCACGGAGGCGACTGCTCCTCGGATCCTGGAGGCGATGGCTTTACAGGCGTCTCCCACAAAGTCAGGAACCGAGAACAGAGCTGCTGACTCGCCAGCAGAGGCTGGAGACTTCACCTCAAAGTGCCTGAAGAAGAAGAAGAAGAAGAAGAAGAAGAAAAAGAAGACTGAGTTCGAGGTTAAAGGTTGGTTGCAATTTTTGTACCACAAACGATCAATGAAATTCTACTTGTTTTGTCATTCTGAGTCATTCTACACAGAACACATTTCTGAGTCTCTCCTTCTTTGTGGTTGTTGTGTGTCCACAGAGCTGCAGGACTTTATGTTGCAGAGAAAAATGAGCCACAGCGGTGACAAACGTGACTGAAGCAAAAACTAAGAGAAGTTGCAAACATTGAAAATCTTTTTTATTCTGAATTTATTCCAGTAAACTGCTACGGTTAATCATCTTTCTTATGTAATTTCAATATCGAGTGTACAGTCAGCTCAGTGTCTGTGAGTTACCAGTTGTATGAGAGCTGCAGCTTCAGCCTTGCGTGGTCGGCGGTCTCGATGGTGATGATGTCGGTGAAGAAGTCGGGCCCGAGCAGCAGGCAGATGGCTTTGATGACGTTGGCCCTCTTCGGTTTGTCTCCAGACAGCGACAGCACGGTGAACTGCTCGTCAGGCCCCAGCATCACCATCTCCGGTCCGAACACCACCCTGTGGACGACACCACCACCGGGTCAGCTGGTTTGTTTTAACCCGCGCCCTCCAAACCTTCATGGCAGGTTGTCCCACCTGGCTTTCTTCTCCCTGTAGTCATACACCTGGACAGCGGCGTTGTGGGGGACCCTGAAGGACACCACCTTGGTCTTGTCCCTCGGTTCCTGATCCACCACCCCCCTGCGGTCCGAGCGGTCGGCCAGCGGGTCGATGCGGGACGTCAGCAGGGCCTCGACCTTCGCAGGAAGCTCCTTCTGCCACAACTCCTCGTCCTGAGTCAGCATGTAGGTGTGACCGATCACTGCTCGCACCTGGAGGCCGGACAGCGTTAGTTCAAACGAGTGATCGACAGTGTGCAGGGTTAATATTATTATTATATTACTTCTGTTATATTATTTATCCAACTACAGTTAAGAGCTCATGTCTTAAATGATCACAACTTGATTCAGTATCAGAGCTCTGGCTGGGGCTCATTACGCCTCAGAAGATGTCATGGTGCCTCTTCACTAGATAAACTTGAACAGTACTCTCTGCTTGCCAACATAAACTGCCGCCTCCTCTGGTTGCAACAGTTTAATACAGTAAGAGGCTCCACCTGGTGGAACAACCAGGTACTACAGCTAACCGACAAACGGTAAATGGCATCAGCAGACACCAAATATTACATGAATCCGAGCAGGATAACCTTAATCAGGACATCCCAAGCTGATATCGATCAGTAAAAAAATGTATTGATCTGCTCCAATCCTGACCTTTGAGATCAGATCAGGACATCCATGATTTAACACTTTTGGTGTTAAAAGACACTAAAAGTACAAAAACAGATTATTTTCCCTGAAAAAGAGCTGAGCTCATTACGCCACACAGAAGCCTTTGTCATGGTGTTTACTCTTTACTACCTAAACCTTGACAATACGCTCTGCTTGCCAACATGGAGCTACCACCTCCTCTGGTTTCTACAGGACTAAACAGTGCGAGGCAGAGCTAATACAGCTCGCAGCAAACTAGTAGAGGCAATCTATAGGAAATTAATCAGAGGCAAATAAAGAGATCAGAACATCCCAAGCTGATACCAATCAGTTTAAAGATCACCCATCTTGATCTTTGAGATCCGATCAGGACATCTCTGATGTAAAGTCTTTGGTTTTGAAACACAACAAAACAGCGCTACATTTTCTAACTCGGACCTTTCCAGTTTTGATGTCCCGGACGTAGATGCCCTCGTTCTCGTCCAGCGGGATGGCCTGCTGCCTCAGCACCACCTCCACCGTGGCGGGGGGAACGTACTCGATGGGACCGCGCAGCATCCAGCGGTCTCCGGGGCGACGCAGGACACCGCTCCTCCGGGAGCGCTTGGCCCTCTCCTCCTGCTGGGCCTCCTCGTCCTCCTCTTCCTCCTGCTGGCAGAGAGAGCGTTGGAGAGAGAGGAGGAGGACGGAAAGAAGGGTTAACGTGGCGATGCATCGGAGCGGCGGCGGAGGAGGAGGAGGAAGAGGAGGAGGAGAAGGAGAAGGAGAGGGGGATGGAGGGAGGCACTGAGTAAAACAAGAATCATGAAAGGAAAACAACGTGAAGAAATGAAAAGGGTGGACGATGTGAGGATGAAGGGAAGAGAATAAGAAAAAAGAGAAGAAGAAGAAGAAGAAGAGTTGGGGGAAGATGGGTTAGCCAGGTTAGGAGGGAAGATGGGGAAGTGAAGAACACAAAGCAGCTTCATCCAAACCTCATTCAGACCAGTGCTGCTAAGTAACAAGTACTCAAGTAACTTTTGAGGCTTTTAGGCGACTTTGACTTTTTACTCCACTACATTTATTTGACCTTTTATCAGATTAAAAGGTGAATTTGTCATCCTTCCTCAGACAATTATGTCAGGACTGCATTATAAGTGTCTGGTATGTGGTGACTGCAACTATTATTTTCAAAACTGATCTCTACTTGTTGTTTTTACAGAATGACATCACAGGTATCCATCATGTTATTTCCGGACAGACATATTCAACTGTTAAATGCTAAAACTGCTGCTGTTCACTCCTGATTGTACAGGACGCCTCCAGAAGAAGATGGCAGTGCCCGTTTCTACCATATTCTAGCTTCACATGTCCGCCTCATTTAATTAAGTTTCTGCTGCTGTGTGGAAAGGGACGATGTGAATGACATGTTTGCTTGATAGTTTGTAAATGAATTTATAGCTCAGACTTTGTACCTGCTTGTCTTGCTGTTTGCGAACAATCCTCTGACCTCATTGCTGCCGTTTTAAGGTGTAACTCCTGGAAACCAACCAGATAAACAGCAGCAGCAGAGCCAAACCCAACCACAGCAGGTGTGGTGTCACCTTTAAACCCCAGAGTCCACAGACACACCTGCAGCTTCATACCAGTCTCTATAGACCTGCCGGTGGTCTTTCAGCAAAGCACACCCCTGTGAAAAGACAGCATTTGCTTTTCTAATCTGTCTTCTCAGATCGACCGGTTGCACAGGACGATCTTTACACACCAGCTCCTCCCTGAGCTTCATTCCTTTCTGGTCCAGCAGCTCCACACAGAGACGCACGAAGACAAACGAAGGTTGTAAAACATGAAAAACTGTGTTTGGTGGAGCTGCAGAAACCTATTATGTGCATGTCAGCTGAAGAAAGATGTTTCCCCGTGTTGAATGCATCGTCCAACAACTTGCTCCTCCACATCTTACACAAGATCCTTTAAAGGACTGGAAGTAGAACGTTCTCGCACTTTACGGCTGTTTTATTGCGTTTTTTTAAAAAAGAGCACGTCTTTCAAATCCGCCGGCCAGTTTCAGGGTTCAACAGATTCCACCTGCAGCATAAGAAGCTAATCTTAGTTTAAGCCGAGTTTATTTAATGTAAGTCTTATTCAACATGGAGACATAAATTAACTCATGAATAAATAATAAACTTGAAAGTTGCCAAGATCTATTGAGCATGAAAGAGATGGAAAGCTTTTAACTTTCTGCTCCTGTTGGAGAAAGACTGCTGATAAAGTGGACTTTTGTCGACCTCATTCACCTTCTGGAAACGTCAGGAATCATCCAGAACCACCAGGAGTTGGAGCACTGCCTGCAGTTCAACCGAACACTCTGAGTTTTGGTCATGAGACTGTTGTTCACAGCCGAGTCACCCAGGAGCTCAAAATGTTTTGTTTTTTGCAGAATCTGGAGCAAACCATTTGTTTTTGGCGCAGTTTTAAACGAGACACGTAGAATAAACTGACTCTCATGACATATCACATGAATTTAGGAACACATTTGGTTATCTTTCCTGATGGAACAACATACCACCCATGATCTTTTTAAGGACTTCTAGAAAGCTGAATATGACAAATTTTTAGGTCTCTACACTGAGCACTCGATCAAAAGAAGTCATTGTTAAGATTCAGGGCTGCAATTTTCAGACAAACTTGTGCCTTATTAAATTGTTTACACCCCAGTAACGAGGCTGGGTGGTGATTCTCACCTCCTGGGTGTCATTAAAGGCCTCGACGGCTCGCAGCACCAAACCTTCCTCCTCCGACAGAACGTAAACATCCTGGATGCCGTTTTCAAGCTGCTCGCCAGGCTGCAGGAAGAACGAGCGCTCGCCCTGACGGAGGGAAGAAAAAGAAGTTAGTTCATCAAATGTAAAGAAAAAACTAGATTGAGCAACTCTTGCAGAAATGGCAGGTGTGATTGAAGCTTGCAGTTGCTGGAGCTTGTACAGTTCAACACTAAGTTTGACAAATATCTTTAAAAAGATTCAGAAATTTCAGAGATGGGCGAGCAATAATCCATCATCTATACACCGCTTAATCCTCACTAGGGTCATGGGGGGCTGGAGTCTATCCCAGCTGACTCAGGGTGAAGGCAGGGGACACCCTGGACAGGTCACCAGTCTATCACAGGGCTACACTTAGAGACAGACAACCAAGCACACTCACATTCACACCTACAGACAATTTAGACTCATCAATTAACCTCAACATGTTTTTGGACTGTGTGGGAGGAAGCCGGAGAACCTGGAGAGAACCCACGCTGCACGGGGAGAACATGCAAACTTCACACAGAGAGATCCCGGGTGTCCTCACCGGGATGTAAACCGGCGACCTTCTAGCTGCGAGGCAATAGTGCTGACCACTGAACCACCCTGCAGCCCGCGAGCAATAATAGTTTCTAAAAAATGTGATGATCTGAGGTTGAATTAACATTGTTGTTTTTTCATGTACATAAACGGGCTGATGGACAGATTCTGATGAATGCTGACATTTTGATGATTAAAAGAAACAAAAAAAGTCAACTTTAGCTGCTAATTAATGAAACTGGATAATCAGTTTTACCTTCACCACCCTCTTCTGGCCCAGCTGAGGCTTCCCATCGGGTCCGACCGGGTCCAGGATGACGCAGTACTGCCGGCTGCTCAGCGTGGTCACGTCCACCACCCCGACCACCTCCTCGGCCACCGACGGGATATGCGCCTCGCGGTCGGCCATGGTGACAAGCCACTCCTCCCCAGTACGCCGGTCACGTCCACCGGCGTCTTTAAAGGGCCGCAAAGCGCGAACGTGCAGCGCTCTCTGGAGAGACAGGAAGTCAGTGTAAATACACCACAAACCTGCAGCTGTGTGCAACGAACCTGAACCACACAGATGCAGCTCAGACATCGACAGCAGCTTAGAAGCTACAGACATGTGAAATGTGGCCCTAATGGGAGCTGCTGCTGTTTAGCGATACATGAGTTTAGTTTTTATTACAGTTGAGTTAAGACTTTTCAAATCCATGTTGATCTAAATTTATTTTCCTGCTAAAAAATGCATATTAGTTTCTCTCCTCTTATGCAGATGAATAAATTAATAATGAAAAAAGGGATATGTTACAACAAAGACTTGATTTTTCCAAATTAACACAGTTTCATGTTTTATACAGTCATGCAGATAAACACACTACGTTATTTAGGTCTCCATTTAAAGTTTTCTTCAGCCGAAGCAATCAAACATCAACAGTTGGTAACTATTTTGATGATCAATGCAATAATATTTTTATAAAAACAGTCTCAATTCTGCGATTGCAGCTTTAAATGTGAATATTTTCTGGTTTCTTTCCTCCTCTGTGGCAGTAAACTGAATAATCTGAGCAATCTGAAGGAATGCTGATCCACACTTTTCACAACTAACTGATTAATCCAGAAAATAATCAAAAGTGAAACTAATAGTTAGCTGCAGCTCTGTCCAACGGACCTGAAACAACTTTTGCATAAAGAACATGAAACGGCACTCAGTGTGAATAATACATTGTGCAACGCTGAAATAAAGGAAGTAAATGAGTTATCTGAGATCATAAGAAGTCAGCAGCAGCTCGAACACATCATCAGACTTAAGAGTTTAGGAAGTCGACGAAGTTCTGAGTCACCTTGTCAGTCAGGATGAAGGCGTTGACGATGTCGATGACCTCCTCGTGAGCACCCGGCAGGTAAGCTCCCACCTTCCGGACCAGCCACTCCTCACCTGGACAACACACGGGGACAGGTGGTTCAGTCACAGGTGAAACTAACTAACTTTTAATGGCACAAGGGTGAAATGAATACGTTGGGTTACGGAGTAAAAAAAAAATCAACTTCTGGTGGTGCGATCTTTAATTTTAAATTGAAAAGTCGAAAATTCCTGGTTGCCACTGAATGCAGCACATTATGCAGATCGTGCCTTTAACCATCTGAACCCAAAATGTGGCAAAAAAAAACTATGAAAATGAAACCGTCCTTGGACAACTCATCTGTGATTCTGTTAGAAAGCTTCAACAAATCTGAGCTTAAGAATCGAGACGTCACGTGTCTACATGTGACACTTCAACATTTGAAAAAAATCAAAAGTTTGCTTGAACCAGATTCACATCCTGGATGGATTTTTTAAAAATGCAAACAAACAGTGAACAGAGGAGCAAGTTGTTGGAAGATACATTCAGCATGGTGAAGCATCTTCCTACAGCTGAGGTACTGAGTAGAGAAAGAGTGGAGAGGCTATAAATCATGCAGAATTTTGCAGTCACACTCCTACAGGTGTGTCCAGGTGAGTGTGTTACCTGTGACCCGTTGGACTCCTCCTCGGTCTTGGCCCTCCTTGCGAGCTCTCAGCCTGATGGCCTGGTTCTCACGGATCACTGTGGCCTTGATGGTCTCCAGAACCACCACCTCCTTCCGTGGGATGTATGTACCTGAAACAACACGACTGTGAGTCACAAACATAAGAAAAAAGCTGCAGAGCGTGACCTGAATAAACAAATATGATGTCTCGAAGCTATAGAGAAACAATCACAGTCTTTGTGTGTTTATTCAGAGTAGACACTAAACTGCTCAAAGAATTAGAGGACTTGAAGCTGGTTGAGGTTCCCTTATCAGGAACAAACCGACAGTGTTTGTTGTACTTAGAACTCAGGAGGAGTGCTTCAGACCCTGATCTGGTCTGAGTCAGCTGGAGGTCAGTAACCTGCACAGAAGTCTTTGTCATGGTGCCCGTTGCTAGCTAAACTCCCACAATGCTCTCTGCTTGCCAACATAAACTATCTGTAGTCCGATGTTGTGTTCACACCAGATGCATGTAAAATCATTCGCGCAAATGATTTACATGTAAAGTCAATGTGAAGACGCGATTAGACGCAAGTACACGTCCTGCGGCGCGAATACCGCTGCGCAAATGACACGAATCCTGCTGCATTAAAAGAGCGAAAGGCGCAAATGACGCAAATTCGCGCAAGTTGAAAAATCTGAACTCAAGTGAACATTCATGCCATGATGGCCAATCAGTGTTGAGAACCTCTGGTGACGTATCCTAGTATCCTGGAGGGTTGTCCTGGTACCAATCCTCTCCAACAGGTTGTCAAACTGGGTCAGCCAAAAATAGCGCTGGAAGCAGTCATCACCCAGGGGCAGCTCCTGGAGAAGGCCGTGGAACTCCCCGAGCTATATGCTTCTCTGGAGGAGCTGATGGACCTAGACACGGCGGCGTCTGGATCTCCATCGTTTCTGGGCCTTCCACAGCAGTTACAAAGCAGCAGTGTTGTCGAGCACAGCCATGTTTGATGATAGCACATTGGAAAATGGCAGGAAACGGGCGGGAATTCCTGGCAGACGCGCGAATGAAGCGAGTCAACTTGTAAACGCGTCCAAATACGAACACAGCATGAATGATGCCTCCTCTGGTCTCTACAGTATTGAATAGTCAGAGGCTCCCCCTGGTGGAACAATCAGGGACTACAGCTGAGCTACAAGACATTTTCTGACATGCATGACCTTCTTCTTTTGCCTTATTGTTTAATATAATTTTCATCTGTTGAATTATTAACAGCATTTAGTCGATTTACTGTTAATTAATGACATCCTAAATGGAAAATGCTTAATGATTCAGAGTGAACAAATAAGAGTAAAACTTTCAGGTGTGTCCCTGAGTGCAGGTGGACCTACCTGGTCCCTCAAACAGCCACTCGTCTCCAGCCACCCTCTTCTGTCCGTCAGCTTCCTCGAAGTCCAGCAGAGCCTGAAGACGCAGAGCCGTGTCGGGATACACGATCTGCAGCGTTGTTACGTCCTGAAAGGAAAACACTGAGCGTCACGAATCTGACCAACAATACACCGAACACTTCTCTCACATAAACCAACTTCCTCTGTTGGGTTAACAGAACACAAAGGGACTAAATACAACCACAAAGAAACTAACAAAAGCAGACAAACTGTGACTCCAAAAAAGAAAGAAATATGTCCACAAATGTGCAAAAACAACATCAAATATTTCTCTGACATTAATAACCCCACAGACCTGCTGGACCTCCTCGCCGGGGTAAAGAGGAAACGGGTCCTGGGTCAGCCGGATCTCCAGGTCGGCATGGCGGAGCTTGGCCTGCCCTGCTTGGTCGAAGAGGACCTGGCCGTTGTCATCGCGGGCCACCGGGTTGGCGACCACGCAGTAGTGACGAGGCGGCACCATGACCATTCGCACCGGCGAAAAGAGCACTCTGGGAAAAGAAGTCAAACTTGGATTTATATTCTGACCGCGATTCAGTAGAAGCAGCCGTGAGATCTGGTTCTGTCTGACCTCTCATTGTCCTGCCGGATGTAAGTCAGCGGCCCGATCTCCACGCGGGCGATGTTGGTGTTCTGGTCCAGAACGTGGATGTAGTGGTGAGGTGGGATCCGGATGATGGAGCCCTCCACCGGCCCCTCCATCTCCGGCCCTCGGTTTCCTCCCTTCTTAGACATGATTGTTGTGAAATCCTGCAGAGAGCAATAACCTGTTAAACAAGAAGAGATAAAAAAAAGTCAATGCCATTTTAAAAAGTATTTTTTCAGAGCTTCTGCCACAAATACTGATCAATAACTGTGACCTGGAGCTGAGTATCAATGACTGGAAAGAAGTCACAGAGCTCCACTAAAAAAATAAAAAAAACCTACCACACAATCAAAAATATGAACACAAATAAAAAAGAGACAAAAAACAACCACGAGGAGACAAAGACATTAAAAACCAGAGATACAAAACAACCACAAAAAGACAAATTATGACCAAAGATTAAGAAAAACACAAAGATGGAAGATAAAACGATCAAAAGGCACAAAAAACAAAGACGCCGAAAAACAATTATTGATAAAATACGACAACTGAGACACAAAAAATTGCCACAGACATAAAAAACAGCGACCACAAAGACACAAAAATAACAAACGTGCATAAAACTATCCCAAAAGAGACAAGATGCAGCCATAAAGAGATTAAAACCAGACAGAAACCACTACAAAGACACAACAATGACCCCTGAGATGAAAAACACGACCACAGATACAAGCTAGCGACAAAAATACACAAAAAATTATCGCAAAGAGACAAAATACAACGAAAAAGAGATTAAAAAGAACCAAAGAGATGCAAAAACTGACCAAGTAGGGAAACCACCCAAAACAAAAAAGGGAAAAAACACAATCATTAAACACTAAAAATGTAAAAAAAGATCCAAACAACCACAAAAAAACAAAAAACTAATCAAAAGAAACGACAACGAAGAGACAAAATATAACTGCAAAGATACAAAAAGCAGGACATGAGAGACAAAGTGTGACCTCGACACACACACCCACACACACACACACACACACACACACACACACAC